AAGTGTAGTCTACGACAGTGGAGTGCCTCGCTGCCGCCTCCTCAGGTTCCAGAGCAAAATTCCTCCAAAAATTGGAAAATGCCAAAAAAATCGACTTTGTTATTCTGCCGTAAATTGATGCCATATTCTCAATGGAACCTGTAAAGAGGAGTGTTGAGTGCAGAAACCGTAGGTGCACTTATCTACAGCCTTGAAACCAAAAAAGGAACAATGGGGACTGAACAAAACCAATAGTCATTTTTACATCGTACTGAGTAAAATCGAGTGCGTGGCGCAATCCGAAGCAAATTCTGAACAGATCATCTTCAGGGACCAATAAGCTCCTTCAAGCACCAAAGCGTGCACCCCATGTGCATGCAGTCACTTTTCGGATGGAGCTCAAGTGCATGGCGCAGTTCAAAATGAAGCATTTTCAACTTTTAGGGTATCATCTTGTAGAGCTTGATGAGCTGAGTCCAAAGGTATTTTTTTCTCCTCGATTAATTTATTTCAAAGCGATTTATAAAGAAAAGACGAAAAAGACGCGAACTCGCATTATTATCGCAAATTTTTGAGTTCTTACGGCGAGTACTGTAGCTGTTCGAGAACTCTGTGAGAGATTTCGAATATGGAGAACGAGAATTGTGACTCGATATTTATGAAGTTTTGGGCAGGGTTTGATTGAGCATTTCTGCGGGTTCCTATTTCCTTATTACGGTATGGTGCTACCACTCGGCCGGACACTTCTTTTTTGCTGTGATAATATTTCACATCGACAAAATTCTATGTAGGTTATCCCTCCTTTCAAAGCTTCGAGCAAGGGTTTTCAGTCTGTTTGCTACAATTCGTCATAATGTTGTAACCAATGACTCAGGACTATGACCGGGAGCTATGATGGGCGATGATAAATTCTCAGGATCATCAGAATCAAGCGGTAGTTGACCGGCGATGAGTCGACGACGCTCGATCATTTTGGATTGGCTGCTGGTGGAAAAGCAACGACGGAAAAGACTCGAAGCATCGACTAATTCTTCAAAGTACTTGTCTCCAGTCTCTGGACTACCGCGACAGTTTCGTCGAATCGAAAATATGGTTGGGCATTTTCTCCTCAGTGGCAGAAGTGTGGAGTGAATTGATCAACTGAAGTCACCATCCAAGAACGTATCTACGTTGTGAACCCCATTAGAAAGGGCAACTTGGATTTCATTCATTTATTTACTGTCCGTCCACGGCGGCACCCATAACTAGCGCGGCCTCCTCGACCGATCGAGCGACCAGTGGCGCGATCAGTCGAGCGACCAGTCGCTAGCGACCGGTCGTGGACTATGAAAGATGCCGATAACACGACGTGTGAGGAATGATGAGTCAGAATAGACGAGATGGCTGTAGCCCTGTTGTTTTACTGTGCTGGCGGCTAAGAGAATCAATAAGTCAGTATCCACATTTCGCATTCGTTCCAGTAGGAGCCATATGACAGAGTCGGCACTCGGATTTACTCATGTCAACATTATTTGTGTTGAACATTGATTCAGAGGCCGAATGCAACACTTTCCAGACGTGAAACCCTCATTTTCGGTGTGATATAGTTTGTCTTATAAATTTAACCGCAACAATGTGAACACTCACCCGGTTGGAAGTACCAGTACAACTCTGCACTAAACATAAACGAACAGTATGGCGACACAAGAAAAATTAGCAATGAAAAATAGGACGTCAGCAGAATAGAAAAAGTCACCTGGAAAATTGTTGCATATTTTGCTAAGGTTGAATGCAATTAAATATAAGTATAATATAAATCTATGTAATTGAAGAGAAGTGCCCCCACTTTTTTCATAGACAATTTTTTTTCATAGACACACGGTTCTCACCCACGTTCTCCTTTGGGTATTCATTATAACCTTTCTAAAAACCAAATTATTACGGCGTATATCGAACCAAAGCTTTTTAAAGGAGGCCTATCTTCACGGTTATCCACAGGGTATAGGTTAACCTGAGTTCTGAGTGGAAAGAAAGGGGATCATGCCATAATCACATATATGTACATATTTCAATTCACAAAAATTACCTTCGAAAAGCGGGAAGTTATTATACTTTCTGCTTTCTCGGACAACGCTGTGAATATGAAGCGATGAAATGAAAGAAATACGGTACTGATACCCATTAGTATCCACGATGATTCCATGAACGCTCCTATGACCTGTAAATTTCCGAAGTTAAATACCAATATCGAGACTTTTATGTGCTCCTAGTACTAATGCTCCCAAATTCTGTCCAATGCTTTTTCGTCATTTTCCATTTGCTTCTTTTCAGAAATCCGTTATTTATATCTGCTTTTCAAGAAGAACTACGATCAAGTGGCATCTTTCATAGTCCACGATTTTGCGAGCGACCAGACCGGCCGCGGACCCATCTCGCGAGCGACTGGTCGCTCGATCGGTCGAGTAGGCCGCGCTAGTTATGGGTGCAGCCGTGGACGGTCCCGAGCAGATCGCGCAATCAGTCGAGCGACCAGTCGCGCGACCGGTCGCGGACTATGAAAGCAGCCAGTGGGCCGGACACCTTGTTCGATATCGTGATGATAGTTGGATAAGAGCTTTATAGACTGTATCCTTTGGGACGTCAAGCGAACATTAGGAAGTCCGCCAGCGCGATGGTCAGACTTCTTCACGGGAGATCCGAACTAAAGTAATGCTGGGCGTTGTGTCCCTGAAGCGAGGGCGACTCACTGGACCGCTATAGCTTGCAACAGGGACGAATTGAGACGTTACTGGCCCCGCTCGACTTGGTCGATGATCAGAGAGACGAAAGGTGACACAGGTGATATCTGATTTTACAGAGTGTCAAAAACATTTTTTATAGTTTTCCTTCTTCTAAGTAACACTTCTTTCAGATAATTCAGACCTTCTCCCTAAATGAGAAAGATCGTTTATTTGTAACAGGTCCATTATTTCTTTCTACTTCACTAGTTTACTTGCCTAAATTTGTTTATTCTTTTCATATTCTTCATTTAGGTTTCACTCAGAACGGGTAACTCTTACCTGGCTAGATTGGCGATATTCTAAGCCTTTTGCTGTGCTTGTACTTTATTACGGGTGTGTTGAATGCCAAACCTGACCTCATTTATTTATATGCTATGCCGCAAAGGTCACTGAATAGCCCTTGTTTGATGTTGATTATTTCAGGCAGGTTCGTTCAAGCAGTTATAAGATTTACAGTAGGAAAGCAGCCTCAACTACTCTTTATGATGCCTCAATTCTATTTTGAAGCCCATGCCTGATTTCATTCTCGTAGAGCAAACTTGTGAAGCTAGCGGTTCTGAAACTATTGGTTTTCCAGCACGGGATGATGAGCTCAAAAGGCAAAGCGTGACAGATACCTCCAAACAACTTCTCATCACTTTCTTCGTCGTACTTTTTTTGAACCTCACCTTCATTAATGGCATTCGAACTTTGAAGCAAACGATAACACCAGTAATGCAGTGAATAAGCAGTTGTATACAATCCAGAATACTGATGAGGCACATCAACGTGTAGGCGAAATTAGACTCAAAACCGCATTTTTTCAGATTCACCTGAATAAAGAAAAGCGGGATGAGATCCTAACGAAATTGAGCATTTATTAACTAACACAATTATGGACTTTTTTGTGATAGGAAGTAGTCAAATAATAGTTATGAAGCTTACAGCCAGAAAGAGAAGATGCGTTATGAGAAATATCGTTGCCAGAAATATTAGCAGACCACCAAAAGTCACCAATGATAGAATTTCGTCATCGCTGTCTTTCATGATTATCTGTAAAATCACTTCTTCTATAAGAGAAAATGGTGAAGCAACACCCAAAGTGAGATGACTGGATTTTGACAAGAATGAAGACACAGTCTTTAAGATGCCTGTGCGAATCCTGAAGCTGCTATTTGCTGAAATTGTACTGGCGAAATTCGACATTTTGATCAAGAACTGAACGTTTCAAAGAATTGCGAACTGCTGGATTTCCAGAAATGCTCAAACTTCAGGAGTTTTATCACTAATATGTTATGCAGAGCCTCTAATTTTCAGGGTGGATTGTGATCGTTGCCCTATCGTGCAGTCGTTGGTGTGTCAGAAGAATTTAATGGTAATTGGTTATATAGTTATTGATCTTCCAGACAGTATGATAGCAAAGAATGAGGTGGCTTCTGATTGGCAAGATGCGCGTCGGTATTTAACAAAAAGCAAGTTGCAGGAGTCATTACAAGTGCTACTGGGTCTTACAGTAGAAAAGATGGCTGGTCTTGGATGAGCCGCCGAGCAGCAGCTCTCGGAGTACTAGGTATGAGTGACGAGCTTGTGCTAACATAGAATGGTCATTTAGGGTGCACATCAGACTCAAAAGCAGCTCCTAATGAGCACCAGGTTGCTCATCATTCCGCTAATATAACTCAGCAAGACTTTTTCAAGAACGCGTTTCACTGAACAACTGGGAGATCTTAGCGAACTTTGAGTTAATTAAAATCGGACATAGGATCAGTCACTGTCTGCTGATAGGCTAGGAAATCACATCTGTGCTTACGAGTTTCTAACTCCCAAACTTGATAATACTACAGTATGATACCCTTCGTCTACCAAGCCTGTAAGGAGGGTATGGTAGGACAAGCTATACCCTTGTCCATTATTTTTTCTCTTTGTCGAATCCAGCTAACCTGTCGAAGTTTGGAAGTTATGGTAGATGGAAGAAATAATCTAACAAGAAAGGGAAGTGAAGTCAAAACTCACCAATGGCAGAAACAGTTTGCTTATGAGCATATCTAGTGATACAAGTGCCCAAACGCTGATGATAGGGAATGGAAAAAGCGCAGCTAATGGAAATTGAATTCGGGGCGGTGCGTCGCATTCGTAGTTACCAATAATTTACTAATAGTTTAATGATTTCAATTGTTATGGTATGATTATGAAAATTAAATGGAATGCGAAGCGGAATTTATTAAAAAACATGACCAAAATCCGAATTCCACCTTTTTACATATATGAGAGCTTTCTTTAGTGTGAAAGCTGACTGCCTTTTCGGCGATGAAACTTCAAAATTGTGCATACTTTTCAGCTGAATTCCCATAAAGTGCGAGCATGGGACATTACTTGTCCCGTAACTCCCGCTTGATCAAACAAGATGTTGGATAGGATTTTGTGCCTTGTCTATAGCGCGGTACTATTTATCCATACAGGTATTTGTGGCTCGAAGTAATTTATTAGCAGTAGTAACTTGAAAAAAGAGAATCTCAGTGTAAAATCTAATAAGCGTGTATTTTGATGAACTGAAATTATTATAATATCATAAAAACTGGCTGGTCCCGATAGTGTTGTGGATAATCGCTACGCTCTACTAGCACTGATTGGAATATCTCGAAAAGTTTAACATACACTCTCGTGGCTCAGCATTTCCGTACATTAATGACCTTCCATTACCTTATTTCCTCAACAACTCCCACTAAGGCAGAAAAACATCGAAAATACATTTTATTGAACGGAATTGGTTCAACTGTATCACAAAATTTACTCGCAGTTCGAGTTTTCCGAGTCCGCTACTGCTGATACACGTGCCTTGACGTGCACTTCACAAAATCGAGGAAGTTTGCATTCATCAGTATACGTTTTGTAGTTACATTCATAGGCTCTTAACAAATTGTACGATGTCTATTTTTATTCATTTGGGAACCAGTTGTTAACGATTGTGTATTGTAGTGCTAAACCTAATAACAATACGTAAAAAATCGAATTATCAGGATAAGCTCTGGGTGGGTTGAGACTATTTTCATTCGTCTACAATGTTATTAATTGTGTCTTTTTATTCCGATTACCATTCATCCAACCGTTAATAGCAAATTACTTACTGCACCGTTACTTTTAAGTAATTATACATAAAAAATATAATTACCTAGGCAGATACCGTGAATGAAGATAGTAGACTAATTGTTGTAATTGCCACTACGTCTGGCCTGCCTCCTCGTGATTATCCCTTTCCGAAAAAATGAATCTGAAAAGGGTCTGTCCTAGAAGTCACGACGTCAAGAACGCTTAGCTATTGTCAAACCCCTACTATTATAGTATAACTTCCAACTTCTCCCGTGAGCCGCCAGGCGGACAATGAAAGCAGCCATTTAAGGTTACTCATGGCATGACAGTCAATAAGTGAAATCAATGCGTTAAATTTAGAAAAAAGAGAGGAGGCTCTCTTGGGACCACAAGCTTCAAAACGAGCTACTGCTCATNAGAGCTTTTTTGCAGATCTACTCACAGGAAATTGAAGTTGGCTATTCAACGTCAACACTACAGTTCGGGCCAACGCTTCGTGGTTGCTAATTTTACAGAGCACCACTCGCCGGCGAAGGACTTAACACATATGGAGGTGTCAAATTGTATCTACTGGACCACCCCATTAAGCTTGCGTTCATCTTTACTGAAGTAGGACAGGTCTACAGGTGACTGAGATTGATGTGTAGTAAATGCATGCTAAGAGTTCATTCGTAATTTACATCATTTGTCTGCCGGTAAAATTACTTTCCTATGGCCTGAATTTCGAAATTCACGTTAGGTGATTCTTTCCCCGATACAACCCTGAATTGATTGGCGATTCCAAGCCTAATGATTTCGATGTTTCGAGCACTGCTAGGAATCCGAAATTCCAACGAAACCACTATTATATAAAAGACAGAAAAGCACAAAGTCACATAGTTGAGTGTGCGCCTAACTGGACCTTCTTTCGCTTGACTAATTAATTCGATTTGATTCAATTCAAACCATGTGGGAAATGAGAACATAAGAAATCATAGATGTAGACGTAACAAGGAATGGTACTGTACAATTCTTTTGAAATGATTTCATGCAAATTAAACAATTCACAGGAAACTTGACGGATTTTCCCCTCTAAGAACGTATGCGATGTGAGAGCTTTTTCCTAATTTCACATAGAGTCATTCGAACAGAAACTGATCTCCATAGGATCATTCATGCACTTGCTTACGGTTCAACCGGTTCAATCTGGAGCTTCAAAGCATTACCCCGCGATTGACCCGGAAGGATAGGTAAAAAGACCACAATTGCCAGGCTCTAGCAGCAAATATTTCAAGCTTTTTTGCTGCATGCACGGCCTACTCTTTGTCACCTACCTAACTTACTCCCCCTCTCTCTGTACATGTCGCGCGTCTGAGGTTGGCTCATCGTTTGAGGAGTTACCTATTTCATTAGGTTCTCATGTGAGAGAATATAATGTAGTTGCAATCAGACATGCTATGTTGATAATGCAGAATTGAAGATATGCACATGGTTAGAATTCTAAGCCCCCTCTGATAACATTTGGGCAGGAATTAGGTCGGAAAACGGCTGGATAGGGCACAATAAGGCCAGGAACAGTGGGGGACGGGAGGCCTCCGCCCCTCGTTAGGCTGACTACGTGTTCAAGTTGTCCTTCACCACATTCGCACTGGAGCGAAGTTGGTGAAAAATCAATACGCTGATTGGCAAATTGCCAGGAAGGGTCAGCTGGTCG